AATTCCCCAGCCAGCATGGTCCAGCATTGCTGGCTGGGGAATTCTGGGAGTTGAAGTCCATTCATCTTAAAGTGGCCAGGTTTGGACAACACTGCCTTGGAGGAACTGTTTGTTGAGTATCCGTGCTATGCCTGAGAGGGGCACCAGAGATGTAGAACATCTTTCCCTGGGAAGATGTCTGTAGCTTTGCTCTTCCTGATCTTTCAGGTGCCTGCTAAAGTTCTCGTCCAAGGAGTTTTTGGAATTTATTTAGCCTCTCTTCTAATTCTGTTGGGCATGCTGGTCTTTGATGTTTATAGCCATTTCTTGTAAACCACTTTGCAGACTGGAGGATTAAGAAAATATACTGAAACATGATCGGAACCCTGTAATAAGAAGGATATGCAACTTGCCTCTCTGAAGTTCTCTGACGACTCGCTAGTTGCAGTGCTATCTCCTAAGCAAGGGAAAAGCGCGGAGAGGAATGTTTTATTTTTTAAAGAAGTGAATAATGCATATCGATTTTATACGATAAATAACATAGATACATATAAATACAGGTGAACTGGACCCAATCCCCCACAAGATAAAAAGCTTCATCAACGGTTGGGAGTTGCTACAATGTCCTCTTCAGAAATAGGAGGAGGAGATCAACAACAAAAGCCTTGTGACATCTACAAAACTGCCAAATAGATGTTCTCTATCCTCAGCCTTTGGAGCATTTCCTCCTTTGCTTTGAAATTATGTATTTATCGCAAATGGGAAATGCAATAACAGACATAAAAAAGATTGTGTTTCTGTACAGACATTTTTCAACTCCTTGCCTTCCTATTCACGAGAAACCTCATGCTTGCTTCCGTAGCTCATCTAAGGGCCTCAGAATTGCCTTTGGATGATAATTTGGAAAAAGTACAGCAAAGATTCACCTTCCTACGTCTGCGGTTGGGTGCAGAAGTCTCGCTGCTCACACTCTCTCGGTGGTTGAGGTGAGAAAAGGGCCGTGCTGCCCCCCAAGATTCCAAGAATCGCGACATCCGGACAGAGGCCCTCATCTTCAAGCCATCCTGCACTCTGGTTTGAGGAAGATGATTGTTGGTGGCACGCTGTTTTGACTAATAAGAGAGAGAGAGAGAGAGAGACAGAATATAAGCTAATGCACTAAACTGGCCACATTATTTATTTTACATTCTACAGTCTTTCCTACTCCTCCAGTTGTTGGCTGACTTGCAGTACTTTACAATCCTACTATGGGTAAACAGGATTAAAACAACTAAAAAAAAAACAGAAAACAATTAATAGCAAACATATTGTATTCACGAACTGAATACAATAATAGCAAAATGTTCCTATGCTAAAGAACCCTAAAAACTCATGCAGTCTTATAGCCTGACATGGGAGGAATCCCTTTCAATTCATCTCCCTCAAAGGTTAATTCATCACACTAAATCAAAAATTGGCTTCTTGACGTCTTCCCGATATTTTGCACTACAATTCCTATCTCCCTGATGATTAGCCATCATAGCTGGGGATATGGGAGCAGTAATCCAAATTTTCTAGAGGGCAAAGATTGGAGACCACAGTCTTCCAGGGTCCTCTACAAGAATGCAGCCTTCGTAGGGTTATTAATCTGGAACTGTGATCATTGACTGTCCGTTGTTGGCTCTATTCTGTAAGCTGGCATTAATATCCTTTATGAATGAGAATATCTAAGGCAAGAAAGTAAGGTTGCCACTGCCCTTGGGTTTCTGTCAGAGCCCTAGAAGTTGCTGGAAAACCGAGGAAAAAAACCCCAGCTTCTTTTATAAGCTGAGCAAAGCAAATCAGGAGTATTCACTGTGGAAGGGCTTTCAGAATGCTTGGTAGAACTGCACTTAAAACAAGCGTGGGCGTCAGAGAGCCTACTCTGTTTAATTACACACATTTAAAGAACAGCCTTTTCTGGATTCCTGAAGAGCTCCTTGGAGACCAACATTTAAAAGCCATTGTTTCATGGGTTCTGCCGTACATGGCAACTGAACGTTTCATCCTTTCTAACCTCCTTTTCCAAGGGCACACACTGAAATAAAACCTCCCAAGTTGCAGTCCCTAATTTAATTCAGTTTATTGCCTTTGATGCCGTACCTGCTCCTCAAACCTGGAACAATCCAAACATAACCAAGATCTCAAACACAAAGGAGGAAGCCAGCAAAAAGCTTTGCACAATAAAGTCATAGGCCACAGGATCAAAGCCAAGCTTGGTGTCCGCTAAAGAATGTATTTATTTTAGACAACAGAACACAACGGTGTTTTTAGATTAGGATTATTTAACTTGTCCCTGGATATTTCAGTTTCTTAGGGTTTGGGTTTTTTTTTCAGCTTTATATTTTGCATGGATACCCTACAGAGACTGAGAGGTGGCTAAGTAAAGGGAAATGCAGCCTTGCCTTTTTCATCCCTGGTCTGCAACCATCGATTTCAACTCCGGCTGGTCAATTCAGTTCTTTATTATAGTCACTGACCAATGTGACATTTAGATGGTCTTCTCCTTTCCTCTCTAAAGATTCCAGATCCTTTTCTCTCTCAGCTTTCCATGGGGGTTTCTCTAGATACCAACCATCATTCCTTTGACCAGCCCAGATTTCAGGCCTCGAGTCCTTTCCCTTCCATTTCCCAGCGATTATCTTCACTGTCTGCCCAACATCTTCATACCTTGCTTTCACAGCTCCTGTGTGACGTGCTTAATTAATCTGGGCCCTTCTCCACATAGCTCAGGTTACAGAACTGTCCTTGCTAGCAACTTTTTTCCTGAGCAATTTGTAGCTGGCCTAGTTCACACAACACTCAACACCAGTGATGGCGGACCTATGACACGTGACACACGATGACATTTTGGGTGACATACCAGTGTTCACCAATACCTGACAACAACTAGCACCACACATGATTGGACTGTATTTTTTAAAAATAAATGAATATATATAATGAATTGTTTCTCCTTTGTTCAGGGAGGGGGTGACACTCCAGCAGTCAAGTTAGGCATTTTCCGAATTTTTGACACGCCAAGCCCAAAAGGTTCACCATTGCTGCTCTACACCATCGTACTTTTAGTTTCCCATGTGTTCAAACTCAACCAATTGGTCTACCCAATAAATCATGTGAAACCATGACTCAGCATGACACGTGCTAAACAAGGAAGCCAGAAATGTGCGCACATTTTTTTTTTTTACATCAAAGGATACCTACCCTCGGGTCAATCACCAAATAAGTCTTGATATTCATGGCTTCCAGGTATGGATCCCTGAGGTGCCCATTTCCTTCTTCTACCTCATAAGCTTTCCCAAGATGATTTAGTGTTGCTTCTGTGATGTGTACTCGGCTGCAAAGAGGAGGAAGAAGTGCACAAAAGGCTGAGCCATTTGCAGAAAGGGCACTTAAAGGAATTCATTTCCATTACAATGCTTGCTGCTGATAACTCTGCTGCTCAACAGCTTCACATTTGGAAGCCAAAATCAAGATTCCTGGCAGAATTGCTCTTAAACAGCTTATCTGTATAACATGATAGAGCATTCGGTCATTCTCACAATGTTGTGCAGTGTTTACTCTTGTTTTCCTTTTCTAAAGAGAGAGAGAGACCCCAAAGATATTCTTCTTATAAATGAAATGTCAGTGTAGCTTGGTTCATACATCCCAAACCATAATGTGTTTTATTAATTTGGATTCACCTTGTTCTATAAGCTTACATGATTATGGTTTATTTCATAAGCCACACTTCAGCATATCACGCAAACCCAAAAAAGAGAGGAGAGGGGGAAAATGAGCAAATGAGGTGCAAGGAATAACACTGGGAACAAGGTCTGGGGAATGTGTCATAATCCTGGCCCTCCCTAGGGGACCTTGAGACAGTCACCATCTCTCAATGTAATCTTCTTGGGAAAGTGAAATTAGAAGCAGGGAAGAACAGACCATAAAAATGATTTGAGTTCCTTCAAGAGAGAAGAGAACACACATAAAGGAAGCCACAATTATCAGCAACAAGGATTTGGTAAAATACAGCAGCTAGAAAACTCCTTGTCATATAAGTCTTTTGTCTGAAGAACAGACCACACCAATTTGGAAGAGTACTATATTGCTAGGAAGTTCCTGGAGCAACAAAATAAAAGGTGCAAAAAAAAATTTAAAAAGAAAAAAGAAGACAAAAAGATAGTAAAGAAAAAAGAAAAGAGATATATAAAGAAATAACTTCCCCCTTCATCAACACAAGTACAAACTATTTCAGTAGCTTATCACCTCTTCTGATTTTACAACAAAAGATCTCTTCTTCCCATATCTCATCTCTTAAACAAATTCTTAGTCTCATCATTCAGTCCTAATCAGCAAAGATCCATGAAGAGTTACCAGAAATATCATATATATTTTAATCTTAATCAAAGGAACCGAATTTTTATTCCTTTCCTTTTTTTAACACCATAACTTATCACAGAGGTACACGTAGTCCCCAGTTTAAAAACGAGTTCCATTCCCAAAGTCTGTCTTAATTCGAATTTGTATGTAAATAGTATTGTGTAATTAACTTGAACCATTGTGTATTTAACTCGAATCATTGTGTATTTAACTTGAATTTTGCTCCAATAGCCTCCGTTCTTATCTATGGGTCGACCTTAAACTGGGCATTCTTTACCCGGGGGCTACCTGTATTCTCAAGATGGGGTAGCAATAGTCCAATGTGTTTTCAACAGCATCCTGCAAGGAGGCTGTCAACATTAATTTAATGTTAGACTGAAAACACTTTTCTCTCATCTCTTTCCCACTTATATAACTTCGGTACGTATCACCCTCTACACAGTTCTCTAAGAGTTTATTCAGCTGGCTTGCATCAGGGGGTTTCACAGGAAGCCTCACAACAGCCGTGCACTGAGCAGCACAACTTACTTGGCAATACACACCCACCCCAAAGCACTTTCCAAAGTTGCGAAAAGAAAAAGCAAACACCACTATGGGATTACTTCTACCT